GGCCGGGACCCCAGGACTGAGACCCCGGGGAGAGCCCGGCCGGGACTCCCGGGACCCGGACACCGGGGCGAGCCCAGCCGGGGCACCAACACTCCCAGGGTCGGGACCCCGGGGAAAGCCCGACCGGGACTCCCGGGGCGAGCCCAGCCGGGACACCAGGACCCCCGGGGCCGGGACACCGGGGAGATCCCGACCGGGGCCCGGACACCGGAGCCCAGACACGGGAAGGAGCCCGGCTGGGGCACCGGCACCGGGACTCCGGATCTGGAGACACTGGGGAGAGCCCGGTAGGGACCCCAGGGCTGCGGCCGCCCGGCAGCGGGAGCACCGGGCAGGGGCACCGGTGGGACCCGAGACCAAAAGCACCGGGGCCGGACCCGGGGACACCGGGAAGCACCAGGACCGGGGACACCCAGGGCCTTGGGGCAGCGGGGGTGGGGGCGGGGACAACGGGGCTGCGACCCCCCCCGGTCCAGCCCCCCCGAGCTGGGGGCGGGGCATGAATGAAAGACCCAGGGTGTGAATGAGTGAATGAATGAATGAATGAAGAGGCGTGAGAACTGCCCGCCGCCCCCCCGGTCGCCGTGGCCCCGCCGTGACTCAGCGCCCGTTCCCGCCGGTGACATCAGCTTGTAAAACAACCGGGCTCCCCCTGGGGGGCTCTGGTTGCCGACACCCCTGTACCCGGACCGCCCCCCTCCCGTGCCCGTCCCGGGAGTGCGGGGGATGGGGACGGTCGTCCCTGCACCCCGGTACCGGGAACCCACCACCCGGAGGCTCCGCGGTGCTCTGTAGCCCAGCCCCGGTGGCGTACTGGAGGTGGAGGGGGTCCCATTGCCCCGGTACCGGGACCCCCCGGTGCTCTGCAGCCCGGTACCGGTAACGCCCCTAGGGAAAATACCCATTGCCCCGGTACCGGGACCCCCCATACCGGCCCCCTCCCGGTGCTGTGCAGTCCGATACCAGTAACACCCCGGGCAGCATTTCCCATTGCCCCGGTACCGGGTTCCTGCAGTCCGGTCCCAATCCTCCCCCTGCTACCGGGACACCCCCACCCCCAGACGGTCCTTTGGGCCGCGGCACCACGAGCTGGGGCGGGTGTGGGGGGAATCCCGGGGCGGG